GTCTCCAATTTTTTATCGATTGTAAAAGCATATATATTAACTGAATGACTTTTGCTCTCAACAAATTACTTGTTGATGGGTTTAATGTTAAAATTAATTAAGAATAAAAGTGCAGGGGCCTCCCCGGTGGCACAGCGGTTGAGCGCTGGGTTGCGAAGCTGCCTGCAGCCTCTGCAGCCGGTTCGATCCCAGGCTGCTCCCCGGCCACCAGAGGAGGGTCCCACATGGCGCGCAGACCTCTCCTGCCGCCCGCTGCTCCCCTCAGCAGTGTACTTCGGTCCTTCTGCCTGCTCTGCTCCCCGCTCTGGCTCTGGTGAATTCTCTCACCCTCCCGCGCTTCTGACTGTACCCAGTGCATGTATCAAACAAACAAACAAACAATAAATAAATAAATAAGACATGCCTCTAGAAAATTAAAAAAAAAATAAAAAAAAAATAAAAAAAAAAAAAAAAAAAAAATAAGAATAAAAGTGCAATGAAAACATTTGTCATCGCCCTTTGACATCTAAATACCAGCCTACTGACAAATCCAGCTGTGTCTTTGAGACAACAGGTTCTTTACTTTTCCTCCCCGGGCTCTTGAGTGGGACGTAGTATTCCACCACAGGAAGGTGGAAGGTGGGTGCCGTCCCCATGGACATGGTAACTGCAGAGTATGTCAAGAGTGGAAAAGAAAAATCTGTGCAAACTCTGTCTTCCAAAAGATACTGTGATGAGCACTTGTGCATTTTAAAGCTTTGAAATAGTCAGAAGTGACCAGATGCCTAAGACAGGTGTTCACACCTATGTGGACTCTGTAGGGCACGTGAAGGTGTGCAAGGTGTGAAGACAGTGCAGGTCAGTGCTGCTTTCACGATCAAATCAACAAGAGTAGCAATATCTTCCAGGTTCTTCTTGAGCGCGAGCTTCCCCTCGTATTTGGGAAAGCCGTAGTATTTGATCCTTCCAAGGACAAAAGGCAGAAAATTCTCAACCTTTCCTTTCGTGCCAGAGAGGCCTCTGGAAACGAGAGTGTGGGCGGGTTGGAGAACATTTAATTAAACATTCCAAAGTGGTTTGCATCAGATAGTAACTGGCATCTTTCAATTATTTGCAACTATTTGAAAAGAAAACAAAGCAAATAAGTTCATGTCTCACCACTAGTGAGAATGTAAACTCGTTGCTATCCGTGGAATCATCACAGATGCCTGTTCACTTATTTAATTGACAAAACACGCAAAGCTTTTAACAGTTTTAGTTTGGTAGTAAAAAGTGGCAACTTGGTGGATTGCGAGAGGTTGAAGTTAAAATGTTCAAGGAGAAAACCTTTCTCGGAAATAATAAACGGCATTGAACTGAAAGTTGAAGCCAGTGAGGCTGCAAGACAGCTCGAACGCCACGCGCGGGAAGCGCTGGTGGGTGGGAGCAGCGGAGGACGCCGAGGAGCCTCAGTGTCTCCACTCTCACCTCCTGACCTGCTTTCCTTCTGCTCCAATTCAGTTTGATACATGTCAGCTTTACCTCGTAGACTGTAATTCTGGAAATTAAACCTGTCCAAGACCGTGCACTCCCCAGGAGCCAAGAGATTATCGATTTCTCTTGGACTGTCCCGAGAATGCTTTGACCTACCAGTTTTCATGAAGAAGCGAAGTCATATAAGAACGTTTATGAAAAAGTGGGTTTTTAAATTATTTCCTCTGTCTCTGGACAGAATAGGCAAAACTCATGCCTTGGTTCCTCGTTGCTTTGGCTAAGTACATTTTATTCTTTAAACCATGACACCTTCCTACGCTCATATTTGCTTTGGGGAACATATTTCTAACATTTATTTTTGTAAAATAAAATAACAGAGGGGAATACTCCTTTCTCTGGAGCCTTTTATTGTGTTCGATCACTTGTCATATTGCTTGGGATGATCAGTTCTTTACAAATAGCTGAGCCCCGCTCTGCTCTCTCTCCACCCCCCCAACCTTGAGGTTCATCCTTTCAGGGCCCATCTCTCTTTCCCTTCATCTCATACATGGTTCTGTTGTCTTTAGAGAGGTGGCAGCAGCATCATCTAGCCTCACTCTCTACTCTCGCTACATCGCACTTGACTAAGGGACTTAAATTGTGCACAGATGTCCAGGTGTGGCTTTGATTTCCTTTTATATTTCTGCAAAATCATTTCTTTTAACATATTCATTACTTCTATTATCCTTCTCCAAATTATGCACAGTGCTGCTATAATGTTAGTTCACTGAATATTAAAGACTTGCGACCAAGTGATTTTATGCTTCAGATGATTATTTATGGAGAAATTCAATTTTTGGAGGATGATAATGATGGTGAAACAGAGGTGAAAAATAGCACTGGCATCCACAAGGCAAAAAAAAAAAAGCCACAGTGGAAACAGGCATTTGGGTGTGTGGGGGGGAACAGCCCCACAGCAGAGAGAAGAGAAACAGGTGGTGTCGCCTCAGAGTCTAAAGAGGCAGAGGAGAGGTGTTAGCCACACAACTGCTCTCCAGTTCAGCCTGCGTGTGGGCCCAGCACTTGGTGAGATGCACAAGAGAATTTTATAGACTTTCTGCCTGGAAAGGAGATGATAAAAAAGTAGGTTCCATCACTCTAGGAGAATGTTTTTCCTCCCTAAATCTGCATTGTGGGGTTATGAAAACATATTCCACGCTACCCAAAAATGTTCTTTAGGCTCAACATTAAGCACAGTGAACCACGAAGCTATCTTTTTAAGAAACTATTCGTTAACAAGGCAAACAGTGGCGCCATCTTTGCTGTTCCCATCTTTCCAGCCACACATGAAGATGCCTGTGGGGGGTTCAGCTACTGGGAGTCACAGGCACCTGAAGTGACCCTCACTTAGAACGCTCAGCTGTCACCCCCTGGCCTGGACAATCTCAATGATCCAAGTTCACAAATCAATAACAGGTGGAAGAATTTGAGCAAGAAGATAGCAGAGTAAGGCTGCTTTGAGTTTTACTTCACAAGTCAACCTTAACAACAGCAATTTTCCAAGTATCCTCAAACACCAAGAGCTGCTAATATAAAAAATATATATATATAATCATAAGGAAGAACCAGAATCCTTAGTTCAGCTTTTAGATCTAAGACCAGCCAAATAGAAGAGGTAAGCTATTTTCACTAATTTTAGAAAAGTAATGCAAATCCAGAATAGAAAATTGGTGACTTGATCAAACTCACTTGAAGTGAAAACTTGAGCTGAATGTTACATGAATATTCAGGGAATAGCAACCTGTTTGAAATTGCTATTGAGTCTAATTCCAAAATTTATGCATTTTATCATTTCCTAGGCATGAAGCCAAAGGCTAAAAAGAGAACATGAAAAAGCTGAACTGGGATTGTGTTCTGAACCCTGTTGAGTTTAATTTTACTTACAAAGCAGAGTGTTAGCTCGCCACTTAAATTTGCCCCTCACAAGCTTGTGCAAATACCTAGTTTCTTGTTATCAGCCTCCAAATTGTATTATTCATTTGGAAAGCTCCCATTTTAGGAGCATCACTCTAAATTACTGGCGAGTGCTACACAATAAATACACATAATCTAAAACAGACCGTAGCCAGAGAAGAAAGCAATTTTCTATAAATTTGACTGCAGTGTGGGGTTTGCAGTTCCACAAGCCTAATAACGTTGAAAAGCATAAAGGAGAATTTTTAGCTGAATGGAATATCATGAGAAAATGGGCACTTAAAAAAAAAGCTGATGTTCTATAACAGGGCAACACAGATACACAGTCTTGAGATCAGCTTGGGAAAATTCAAATAACTTGGGACAAAAACAAACCGCAGAAAGTGAACACGTTATGACTCACCCTTGTTTTAAAACACCATTTTTTTTCATGGACCGGTGATGGATGCACCATCCCAATCAACAAACTTTTGGCGACACATACAACGAAAATAAAGAGGTGCTGGTTGACCTTACTATATGCCTTCCCGATCAAGGCTTTTATAGCAATGAGTTCTAAAAATTGTGGATGGAAAACACTGAATAAAGGGTAAGAGATTCTAAAATATGCATGTGCCACGCACTGTGGACATCCTACTCATGGAGATGGTGCGGGGCCTGAGCGCACGTGCTCACACCACTCAAAACAATGTTGTTTAAGATCAAAAATGGAGAGGTTGGGGGGAGAGGGGTCCCGCCAATGTTCTGGTTCTGGTTTCAATGGCAGTTTTGTAACAGGGTGGCCCTGGTAAAAGGGGAGGTTTTCACTCTGTGATTATTCATTGAGTTGTACATCTGTACACTAACGATGGGTGGAAATGTCTGTAGACATACTGTATCTGAATAAAAAGTCAAAAAAATAAAAAGAGAGAGAAAGAATGAAATAAAAGAAGTAAAGAAAGGGAGGCAGGGAGAGAAGAATGCAAACATGCCAGGAGCTGCATTTCCCCTCCACCCCGGGAATAGTGCGCCCCAAGAAACTGGTGCTATAACCATTTACTTCATTCAAATGAGAGGTGGCTTCATAGGGTCCCAGCATTTGGTGGCCTGGGTCATAGCCAGAAACCACATTCCTGTCATTTCTGCGTGCACGGGGTTGGCATTTTCAAACATGAGGAAATCTCTGTGACTTAACAGTTGCAGTTTTCTTGTTTGGGGAAGTGGAATCTAGAAGTTAGCAGAGGGAGACAATTGCCTTGGGATTGCACTAACTTTGCATTTGAAAAACACACACATACAAACAAAGTTATCACTGTCATGCGAGTGTCCTTGAGGCTCAACTTGTTGAAGTCGGTTGGGTGTTAAGGTGGTGAAACACTCACTTCGTGCTCAAGGTGACTTGGACTCTGAAGTCGGATCAGGAGGTTTGGTCTGTTACTAAGGAGCAGTTTTCCATGTTATTTTTCCAAAGGCAAAAGGTTAAGCAAAAATGACATATATTGTAAAATTGAAAGTAAAATGCACAGCACCATGTGCTCAAAGTCCATGCATTTAAACTCCTTTGTATGATAATTTATGGTGATCATGTCTTCAGACTGCACTATTAGCATACTCACCCCTAACAAGAAGTTCTGCCTCATCTGACACACTGTCTGCTGTGGTCTGCACCCTGCAGCCATATCTCCCAGCATGCATCAGAAGGATGTTCCTGATCATTAAATCTGCAGAGGATGCTTGCTGAAAGAGGGATGAAGTGCCAGTTTAAAATGTTGCAAATCTGCCTAGTTCAAGGTGGTTTAAGGGGAACTTTGCATATTCAAAGGACCCATTTTTGGCCTTACAACTTCTATGACAACAATTCAGAAATCAAACATGCCCTATTTTAAAGAACACATGGAAGTTATGTTTTCAACAGTTGTTAATACAGGGTTTGAACATTTAATATTGTATATAATGATTTAGCAGCTAAATATTAAAAAAAAAATCTTTACATATGCACAAACATTCACATCTTTAAAAACACAGGTAAATTATTCAGTGAGCAAAGATGATCACTTTGCTTCAGTGACAGACCTATTTTGCATTGAAAGGACTAGCAACTTGTGGAAATTAATGGTGAGATGATAAGCATCAAAGATTCTCTCACGAGGCTTTGTTGAAAGGCTCCTCTGTAAAGCACACTGGGGGCAAGAGAATGAGCCGCGCTTGGGTGTGGTCTGCTGGTCCGAGAAAGCTCGTCTTGTTCCCAAACGAAGATGTATTCCTTCCACACCCACACCACCAGGGATGAGGGCAGCCTCATCTCAGTTAATCAATGCAGTTACCAACACAAAAGAGGCTCAAAACACCCCATTCTTGTTGGGAACAAGGTGATTAGAGCATCTTTGAGAACAACTGCAGCTAAGGGGGCTGATGAGTACCGGGGAGACTATCTTTTGGGTGGATCAGTTCATGGGGTCACGCTGATCCTGCCCCTCAGGGGGCTGGTGCAAAACTCTCTCACAGAATCTTATCTTTCATTTTCTCTACGAGGAAAGAGACATTTCCTTTATTGTGACTATGGTATTTACAACAACTCATAAGGAACTTTTTTCAGTCCAATACCCTCTTCAGTTTCCATGTTGTAATCAGAAACAATGGGCTGGGATGACAGCAGAAGCATGCGATTTGAAATAACATCTTCAAGGAACTCAAAACTTCTCTCCAACAGTATTTGAACAGGCGAAAGGACATTTAAGCCTGGGACACACACTAGATTAGAGATCTTTTATTTTAATGGAATGGGTGAATGCCCTTAACGAATGATCATCTAAGAGTTTAGCTGATTGCCTTTAATTTGAAATAGACCAATCAGTTGTACAAAATCACTAAAGCAAGACAAATTTCTAGAAACCCTTCAGATGCTTATTTTATTTTATTTTATTTTTTTAGCATTCATAGAAGGGTGTGAAGTCATTGGCAGCTTCCTAGCTCTCCAACGATCTGTGCTGCTTTGAATCACTCAGCTCTATGCAGTTATATACTAGGTTTTAGACCATTTCTTTCTGCTATTTTTTTTTTCTTCCTTAGTTTTATGATGGAAACTTCTAAGGCTATTGGAGTTTTCTCTCATGATATAAATGTTAAGACATGGTCTGGTTTAGACATTTACAAGGAAATGCTTCCCAGGGAGAATGCACTAAAATGTCATAACGATTATTTCAAGGCATGTGAAATTGTGTTTCGAGAATGTCCTAAACTGCTAATTTCCTTGGCGAAATTGTTACTCTTTAAATTCTAGCAAAATTCACTTTCTCACCTCTACTTAGAACTGCTCAATACTTTCAAATCTGAAAAGGAAACTTTACACTTTAAAACCATGATTTAATAGGGGGAAACAAAAGCAAAGGACAGACATGAAAGCCATAATCAGTTTCAATCAATGTCATTTAATACCATATCTACGAGCTTCCACTTATCCACTGCTTTGTTATGTGGACCCGTCTTAGATGGGAAAAGCTCCCTTTCCCCGTGGATTTATAAGGAGGTCTTTTAACAGGGTTTTCAATTAAATTAATCAGGAACCAATACGCACATGTGGGCCCTCAAATGGGGCCGATAGCTTACGGAAAAACAAGGAGAGACCCCAGAAAATCAGAGAAGATTTGGCTATTTCTGGAAATAACACTTTTGCAAGACTATTTCTGGTGTTTTCTGCTTGTTTTCCTCTTTTTAACTTGGTTGCTTTTTTGAACCATCACAAACGGATTGGTGTCGTGTAACAGCAGACACAGTAATGACTATCAGACCTGTCTCAGACACACATTTAAAAAAAATATGGTTAAATCACATTAGCCATTACTTAATTGTCTCATTTCCCAGTCTTTTTTTCTCAATGAATTTACTTTTCTGTCCTAGAGAAACGTCTCAAAATCTTTGTCCTCTCTGTTGAATTATAGTGAAAGAAATGCTCAATGCAATTAAAAAAAGACTTCACTGAAAATCCCATAGAGGTCCCAGGAATTCAGGAGGGCGAGGGATAGCTTAGCTCTCCTGTCTGCCCTCGCTTGCTTTCTGCAAACGTGGAGAGCTCTACAAATGGGCGGGAGCTCCACCACCAGCTACCAGGAATAAGTGTCCACGGCTACTGCGTATCTGTCAACACAAAGACTATTCAAGGAACCGAAACCATGTCTTCCGAGCCCAGTCCTTCTCTCTCGGATTACATCTGCGTTCCATTTTTACAATTCTAAACAGAGAAGATTAAAAGTAAAATGAATGGATTGTGAACACTAAACCTAAATTACCCCTTCAGTAGATTTACTGATCTTTCAAGAGAAGTAATGAGGAGAATTCACGTGGGAGACCATTATACTTAATCTCAGCCCACAGTCTGCAGTTCCTGAGAGAGAACCTTCAAAATTTAGTGCACTTTTAATGAAATGGTTACTTAGGGCAGATGCTTGCTTTCTTAAGCTTAAACCTCATTGTCAAGTTCTCTCTCTTAGGAGTCCCTCTCTCCTTTCTTGACACTTGCTTTATGTCCTATCTTGTCTTTGCTGCTTCCTTTGGCTTTATGAATAAACTGGGCTACACGTTGCTGCCAATGCACTTCTGCACAGCAGGCTGAGGCCATGCCCGCCACCCAGCTCAGAAGGTGCCCGCACCCGGAGCGGGGAAGCATTTGCCTAATGGATGGAAACACTGAGCTCTTTAAGAAGCGGGCTGGTGTCCACTCTTGGTGAGAGTAGCAAAATGGTTGCTTCATTGACATTTGTGGTAACCCTGTCTCCACAGAGCAGTGGCTGGATTATTGCCTTTTTTTATTTATGACTCTGGAATGAAGCACAACTTCCACGAACATAGTTCTTCACCGGCTTTCACTCTGACAAGGCCTGCTCACCCACGGAGACTGCCCGCGGAGACTTCTGAAAGGCAGAAGCTCATGGCACATGGCTGTTCAAAAGTGTTCACTAGCTCTTTGTGTGTCAGGATCAAGTCCAATCTCCTTATTTCAACACAGAAGGCTCCCAAGAGCTGGATCCCACTCTTAAGCCTGAGCCCCGAGCCTCAGCAGCACCTACCCACCTTCCTGCCAGGGGGATGCTGCTGCCCACCTGCCAGCTCCAGCAGCCGTGCTGCCTTCTTTGCCTGGAAAGATCCTTCTAGACAGAGAGCACATTCCTTCCCTGGGTCTCTCCCTCAGCCTCACGAGCTCCATTACTGTTCAGGCATCGACAGGACATTGCTCCTGTCTCTGAACGAGCACTTGGCATTTCTGGGCAGCTCCTACAAGGTCACTGTGGGCGTCCCAGAGTCAAGCTGCCCTGGGGGGACCTTTGGGTGAGCTAAGGAGTGTAAGCATCACCTCCTTCCTTCTTTGAGCCGGCCAATACCTCTCTTTACCCTTTTTTTTTTTCCCTCCCTCTCAAAGAAATCAGTAAGGGAAATCGGAATAGGAGGAAGACAGTAGAAATTAATACTTACAGAACATTTACAGGTTTTGGAATGACACAGTATTGCGTGAACCCAGGTCTACCATTTATTAAATTTGGAACTTGGGAAAATTACTTTCTCATTCTCAGAGCTTGTCTCAGAGCTGCAATGTGATAATTCAAGGAAAGCCCATAGCAGTGTGCCTGGCACACAGTAAGTGTTTGATAAATGTTATCTGTTAAAGGGCACTGAAATTACATTCTTAGCCAACAGGAGTATTTCTTTAATTGGTATTCACTCCTTCAACAAACTGAATATCAACATTCTCCACAGCCGCAGTAAGTTTTCTGTAAGTGCCCAGCTTAATGTTAGGTATATGTATTCACCCCCTGCCTCCTTCTCGCTTAGAGAGAGCTTCTGTCCTCTCAAAAAAAAAAAAAAAATCAGACTCCACCTTAGCTCTGCACCTTCCTACTCCGTGACTCTGGGAAAGTGGCTTTTTGGGCTAACCGAGGCTGCCCGGTCTCATGAGAGCTGAGGGAAAGTGAATGAAACAAGGTGCACACATGGATGAGCTTTTCAGAAAACGCTGCAAAAGTGTAAAGTGCGCTATGGCATTTTTTCCCTCCAGCAAGATTCAGCAGAATTCTGGGCTTACCGTACTCACTCAGAGTGTTTGAGGAATGAATTATCCAAACAAGATCACTTAAATTGAGAGTTGTCATTCAATAGTAAACTCATGTGAATGACCCAGAAAGGGAAGCTGCGCTCCCTGAGATTTACCCTCTTCAGGGACCCATGCAGGGCCATCACAGGCAAAGACCCATCCACCTCCCCTCTGCGTAAAGCAAAGTCACATGGCACAGAAATTCTACAACACACATTTATTTTTAACCTCTTTCCTATAGTAAAAATCTATATATCGGCTATGAGCTAGATTATGAAACATGATTAATGTTGCTGCAATAAACTCTTGGGTAGCTAAAGGGCCTTCCTGATAACAATATCTCTTTCTCCCAGAGAAAAATTTGCTTAGAGCACTCTATCATGCTCTGGAAGTAATACACATAGATTGTTACAACTCTAACGGTATATCTTGTATAACTGTTCCTTCTTAAACCTTTATATGATGGGATTGGCATTCATGACGACGTGGCAAACATACTTTAACGGAGAAAAGCTGGTGTTAACTTACATGCTCAAATAATTGCACATATTATCTGCAATAGATAACAATTGCTATTGGTGGAGAAATTACTAGAAAAATACTATTTGACAAAATATGTCTACCATGGAAAAATATTAAATGGATCAAAAAACGC